ATGGTGAAATCACGCTGGAGACTTTGACCCTTTCCCGGGAATTGAGGTATGATCCAGACAGGCTACTCCTTGAGATTCACACACAAGCGAAAGCAGGAGCCCAGAGGCAAACACACGCGGGAATGTTCGCAGCAGCTTCCTTCCTGCTGGTCCGAACCATAAACGACCCAGACGCGCATCAACAGGTGAATTCAGGAACAGAGTAGCATCCGTGCGGCAGAACCCTGCTCAGCAGGGAGAAGAAACCAACAGTCCACGGATACATACAGCAACACGGACGAATCTCAAAATAATTTTACTGGGTGAAACGAGCCAGGAAAAAAAGGAGGCTCAACTGTCTGGTTCCATTTTTACAGACTTCTAGGAAATGCAAATTAATGTATACTGACAGAAATCAGAGGTTGCCTGGGGATGGTGGGGGCAGGGAGGTGTGGGATGCAAGAATGACAGAGGGCCAATGAAAACCTTTGGGGATGGCAGGTACGGATCTGTTCACTACCTCTACTGCGGTGATGTTTTCAGGGGCATACACATATGCCAAAACATCAAATTTCCCACTTTAAATATGTACGGTCAGTTATACACCAATTATGTCTCCCGTGTTGGTTCACTTTACGTATCAACTTGGCTGGGCCACGGAAGCCAGGTGTTTGTTCAGCCATCAGCCCAGGTACCGCTGTGGTATTTCTTAGACGTGATCAACATGGGAATCGGCAGGCTTTTGAGTAAAGCTGATTGCCCTCCAGAATGTGGGTGGGCCTCGTCCAATCAGGTGAAGGCCTTGAAAGAAAGACTGAGGTCCCAGAGGAGGAGTGAATTCTGCCTCCAGAGCTCAGACAGCAACTCCCTCCTGAGTCTCGAGCCTGCTGGCCTGCCTGGCGAATTCTGGAACTGCCAGCCCCCACAATCACATGAGCTAATTACTTAAAATACTGGTCTCTCTCCTTCTGTGTCTCTGTCTTACGGGTTCTGTTTCTCTGGAGATCCCTGGCTACTACACCTCCGTAAAGCTGTCAAAAAATAACAAAGGATACAGAAGATGAGACCTTCACCCACCGCCCACTGACAACAAGGTTAAATCCACAAAAGGAAAACCTGGTTCGTGATCCCTCCTACCAAGACGAACGGAGGGAAATGACTTGTCACACGCACAAGAGGTTGTTGACAGCTGTTGTTGTCTTATGTATACCTTTCCGTGCTTTTCAAATGTCCAAAAAAATTGAAAGGGAGTTTTCCCAAAAAATTAAAAGAGTTCTGAATAATCAATGATCCAAAGGCAAGCCGGCAAGGAGGAAACCTGGCAGAGGGGGTAAGCAGTTGATTGACAAAAGTTGTGAGCGTGACGTGCCTGCGAAAGTCGTAAACGCTCGTTAGATCAAACAACCGCAAACGGAAATGACAGTCACAAGTGTTTGTCACCTGAGCGGTAGTCCGGGACACTCACATTGGGGTAATAACCGGGCCAGTAGGGGTACCCCACAACAGGCGCTCCCAGGCACCCTTGGGGGGAATGTAAAATAACATAACATTTTCTGGAAATGTATTTGGCAAATAAATAGCAAGGCCTTAAAACTGTATCCTTATTTTTTTTAACTTGTTTTTTTTTTGAGAGAGAGGGTGTGAGTGTGTGAGTAGAGGTGGGACAGAGAAAAAGAGAGAGAGAGAGAGAGAGAGAGAGAGAGGGAGGGAGGCAGAATCCCAAGCAGGCTCCATGCTATCAGCACAGAGCCTAACATGGGGCTTGAACCCACAAACCGTGAGATCATGACCTGAGCCAAAACCAAGAGTCGGAGGCGTAACTGACTGAGCCCTCCAGGCACCCCCAATTGTGTCCTCGTTTTGACCCAAGAATTCTACTTCTGCAATTGGTTTTCCTACCAATAACCACAGGAAATGACTTAAGGACAAGAATGCTCATTGCTGAAATGTTTAAAAGAGTCAAACACTAGAAATAGTCCACATGTCCCCCCAAAACATGGATGAAATAAGCGGTGGTATTTATACATGACAGAATTTGAGGCCGTGAAAACAGTGTTCCAGAAGAAGATATAACACCGAGAAATAATGTCCGCTATGTCCTAAAGGAGACAGTTTACAACAGACCTACAGAGCGGATGCACAAAAAGAAAAAAAAATCAGTAGGGGCGCCCGGGTGGCTCCGTCGGTGAAGCGTCCGACTTCGGCTCAGGTCATGATCTCCCGGTTCCTGAGTTCGAGCCCCGCGTCGGGCTCTGCGCTCACAGCTCGGAGCCTGGAGCCCGCTTCGGATTCTGCGTCTCCCTCTCTCTCTGCCCCTCCCCCACTTGTGCGCCCTCTCTTTTTGTCTCTCTCAAAAATAAATAAATGTTAAGCAAAAAAGAAAGAAAAATAAGTAAAGGTTACTAACAAAATGCTCTACGTGGTTAACTCTGAGGGGCAGGATGAAGGAACATTTTCCCTCTGTTTCTCTTCTGTCCATCTTACAAAACTGTCTTAAATGAACACAATTCAGGACGGAGAGGCAGGGGAGCAGGGGCCGTACCGTCGGGAACCGCCAGCCTCACCCTCAGCCCCCCTCACCCGCTGAAGGTGCTGGAGCGGGCCCTCCGCCCCCTCCAGCCACAGCACACCCGCCTAAGTACAGGTGTCCAGTGATCCGTCTCTCCAGGCAATGAGCTCGGGACGGTGCCTGGAACATACTACGGAACAGAAAATAATACCATTATTGACATGGAGATGGTGAAATGGATAATTACTCCTCAAATAACAGGTTGATTCCACCCACCGGCTGCGTGAAGGACACGGTTTCCGGCGCTGAGATTTCAGCCAGGGGCCTGGGTCCTCGCGGGGCTTGCGTTCGCCGTCCGCACCCGCTGATCTTCTGCCCTTTGGCGCATCCCGCCGCGCTGCAGCCTGAACGCTGAGCAAGAAGTGGCTGGCCTCCCTGACCCTGCTGTGCATCCCCTCACCCGGCCAGTACCTGTCTCGGCAGGTATCACTGCCACTTCCCAGCATTTCTAGCCGGAGGCCAGAGTCACGTCGCACATCTCTGCCATGGCCCCATGGCCCCCAGCCCCCGGTTCTCCACCTCCCATAGAGCGCCTGAAGCCCCTGGGGTCTGTCCCTCTGCGCTCACAGCTGCCCCCGAGGGAAGCGGCCAGCCTGTCTCTTACCTGGCCTTCTACACTTGCTGCCACCTGCTGTCCTGCCCCCGTCCCTCCCAGCACTTGCAGTGTCTGCACACTGCACCCTGGACCCTCAAAGGGGAACCTGCAACTGTTTCCAGAAGGAGGAACCGGCCAGGCACACTACAGTCCACCCCCTCAGCGGCCTACCATGCACAGACCACACGTATCCTTCGCAAAACAGCGCCTGCCTTCCCATAAAACACACTTGGCTCCCCGTTGCCCTGGCGGAGACATCCCCACATCCCACCCAGTTCAGCATCCAGCCGGGTCCCTCTCGGTCAGTCTGGCAGCCCACGACTCAAGTGAGAAATGCAGCGCGCTCAGCACGGAGGGCCGGAGAACAGAACCACCGCCAGCCTCCCGCCGGAAAACGCTGCCCGCCGATCCTGTAGAGCAGACGCTCAGATTCCCTGCCCACACGTGGAACGAGTGCCACGGCCAGCCACTCTCGGTGGGCCACGTCTCGTCCAGGGGCAGCGCTCCACTCCTGGGGCTCTCTCGGCCGCCTGGGCCAGCCGGGAGGCAGGCGGCGCCCTCCGTGGGCCGGGGTTCTGGGCCTGGGGTGGGGTGAGAAGCAGGCCGCGCCCCCGGGGCCGCACAAGCACGTGCCTCGTTGGCTAGGCGCGGAGGGCAGGCGGGGTGTGATTCCCCAGCACGCTTACGGGGCTTCAGAGTTTAACGTCCTGTCTGTTCCGGCCAGTCCCCCAAACCAGCCAATCGACAGCTGCTGTCACCCGGCAGGGCGCTTGGCGGCCCAGGTCTGCGCGGTTTCCTAGCAACAGGACTCCGCTCCTCCCTCATTCTCAGTTTCCATCTTGGTCTCCCACCAGCCCCCCAGGGGCCACCAGCATATGCCCTTGCTTCGGGCTGGATGCTGGCTGCATCTCGAACTTAATCGCCCTGCTCTTGTCGGAGACGCCGCCACCGTCACTGGTCAGCCGTCCTTCTCATCCATCCCCCCTCCTCAGCCCTTCCCAGCCTCACTGGGTTTCGGGCCCTCTACCGCCCGGGATTCCAAGGGCTCAGCTCTCTTTCCTCTTCCTTGTAGGGATCTGTAGCACCCAGCACGGACTAAGTCACTACACTCCAGAGTCAGCACCCAGTAAACACTTAGTCGATACACTCCAGGTTCAGCACCCACCCAGACTCAGTCACTACACTCCAGAGTCAGCACCCAGCACAGACTTAGTCACTACACTCCGGATTCAGCACCCAGCAAACACTTAGTCGATACGCTCCAGATGCATGAAGCTTTCCTTTCAGACGAAGATTCCTTGCTCGACTGGACTTCCGTCAGGCTCCCAAGCCCTCTCCGGGGCCCACCCGTGTACTTCCTGTACGATCAGCGTAACGAGAACCCCCCTAAGTCAGCGTGACCGGAGCCCCCCCCACCTCGACGTTTCCTCTCAGTAACGTTCCTCCCACTGCCCCTCCTGCTCCCTGCCTGGGAACCCCCACTGGCCCACGCCGTACCCCGGGTTGAGCCCAGCCCCTCCCTAGTGCACAACCCCATCCCGCACTCCTCGCGAGGGCCCTGAACCAGATCTGCGTCGTCATCTTCAGCAAGCGTCTTTGAATACTTTTTCTTTATACATGTCAACCCCCTCGTGTTGTAGCCACAGAAGTCTTGTGGCGTGAGCTCCAAGAGAAAGCAGATTGTGCCAAACTCACCGTCCCCCTGTCTCTGGTTGGGGCTCCCCCGCTGCCCACTGTCACCGGGTTCCTCTGACCTTTGGCGTGACAGCTCTAATTTATCCTCCCACACTCAACGCAGACCACATCTCCCCTGGAACAGTTTTGGTCCAGCAAAGAAAATTACTGTAAACACAAGCATTGGTGGACAACCAGTGTCGTAAGGAATGAATTAGGACAGAAAACAGCACAGAGTATGGAGAGTGTGGGTATTGTTTTGTGAAACTGCCATTTAACGTGTGTGTCCGTGTGTGCTCTTTCTAAGGACGGCACTAAACATGTTTGAAAACCGCTCTGCGGGAAGCTTCCCTGGCACACCCTCCCAGCGCCCCCCACCTGATCTGGGGCCGAGCGCTCTTCCCCTGCCGGCTTAGCCCCTCCCATCGCGGCTCGGCCACACTGCGCTCTGATTGCCAGTTTCCTCATCCATTTCCCAAACCGGGCACACGTTTCCAGGGAACAGAAAGCGTGTGTCTTGTTTAATCCCTCTCCTGCAGCAGTGACACCTAGAAGGTGCCCAACGAATGGCCGCTGGATGAGGGAATGTCCGGAACATAAGAGGAGTTCAGAATGGACAGGACGAAATGGAACGTGTCACCTTTGAAAAAGTCACTTCCTTCTGAACAGGATGAAAGGCTGCCATCAAAGGGGGGGGACTCAAGAGCTACAGATCCCGGCATCCCCTGGGAGCTGCAGGGACCGCGAGGGAGCCCCTCCAGGGGCCAGAGGGCGGACACCAGCCCAGCACATTCCAGAAGGGTCCTGCCCCCCACCAGCCCCAGGTTCTCAGGAGCCCAGGGTCTGTGGTGCCTGCATGCCAGCAGAGGGAATCAGGAAGCGTGTCAGGAGGACACGGAGGAGGGAAGTCAGACTGTTTTAATTAAGCAGGAACAGAAAAATTTATGAAGAAAATCATCCCGGACACACTCACCTTACAGCAGGAATACTGTTGGAGCTGGAGAGGCGTCCTCACTGGGCCACCGCGGGCCCTCAGCGCTCATCACAGCCTCCACGGTCTCCTTAGAGGCCCGGCGGGCGGGGATTCGAGGTGACGGGTGATACCGGAGACCGTCTTTGCATCGGGCCCTCTAGTGACCCCTGGGAAAGGGTATCCAGTTCCAGCAAGGCCTCATGGGGTCCTTGGAGGCCCCTGCTCGTGCGGGATCAGAAGGTGCTCTGATGAGGAAGGATGGGCTCACATTAGCACCTCCGCTGACCCGCAGGAAGGCAGTGAGGGGACTGGGCACTGTGTCCGGGTACCGCGGGGGCTCACCTGGTACCGTGGGGCTGCCTGGCGAGCATCTGGTCTTGGGAGCTCGTCTTGCTGAGGGGACCTGAGAGAGGAGTGGGGCTGGGGAAGCTGACCTCAAAGGATATACGGGATCCACTTCCCTCTGAATCAGTTCTACTGATGATCTTTAACTACGCAAATCCAATGAATCACAGCCATTGTTACCTGCTCAGAAAGTCCACCCAGAGGAGATCAGCACCCGGACTTTGGAGACAGAAGACTGGGGCCTTGCCAGGTGAGGGGCAAGGAGACAGCGTTTCAGGGCCAGGGCAGTGGGCACAGGTGGAGGCACCGGGCAGGGGACAAGGAGACTGCTTCTAGGGACGTGTGTCTCCGCCTGGCAGCGCTGGAGCTAGGGGGAGGGAGAGCCCTCGGGGGTGCTGACCTCAGCGGACTCTGGGCGGGTCTGAGGCCCTGTGTGCTCTTTTGTGGGTTCAGGGACACCGGCGCACAACCCAGAACAGGGGTGAGAGCCGCATCTGGGGAAGGGCCCAATGCACCCTATACTTACGGTAAACTCTGGGCCCCGGCGTCGCGGGCCTCTGCGGGAAGGAGTAGGGGCGCCCGGGGCCCGCAGCCCAAGTCCACAAACTTCGCGCCGGCCAGGTCTGTCCTCCCCGCTTGGTGCCCAGGCAGCGGGCGCGCCGGGCCGTCTCTGTCGCCATCCAGTGGCTCGGCTTGGGCGCGGCGTCCCCTCCG